GTATCCGTAGAGCGACTTTTTTCTCGATGTTCTTTAACAATCCTCAAACATCGGGACAGATTTGGAAATAATACATCTCGACAATTACTATGCTTAAATAGTTGGACAGCTCGAAAAGATTATTCATCATTCCAGTCAACGTAATAAAATATGATTTTTAAATTAAATTAATAGAGATTTATTAATTTTTAATTAATTAAATTGAAAATAAATAATTTATTTATTTCACATAGAAAGAAAAAAAGGCAACGCACACGGAGAAAATCTGAAAGCAATAAGTATTTTTTCTCACAGCACTGGCTACTATGGAAACCAAAAAATTAAATTCCAGAGTTCTGAATGTTCTCCACACAGCACTCAATGCTCTGCAGAAAATAATCACTATTTTTTTTACAGTAATCAGAGTTTCGTTTCATATTAGTAGACAACAGATTATTCAGAGCTACGAATATAGCATTAAATATTATGTGTCCAAGTCGTGACTGATTTTCTCACAGCTCTGAGTACTGTGTAGAATTATTTTTTAAAATTTAGAAAACAAAGGAACGTTTAACGTCAATTAAAAAGAAGGAGACGCCTACTTTTTCCTCAATTTTTAAATAACCGAATTTTTAATTAACATAATTTAAAATTACAAAAGTGTTAATAAACCGAATTTAAATATTTCAGAATTTTTAAAAAACCGAATTTTTATAGTTCCAAATTTTCAGTTTACACAATAAAAAAATAATCGAAATACCATTGGTTATAATTTTTATGTTCTCGAATATTAAAATTACAGAAAATGAAAAGAGCAGAAGTTTCACTTGACAGACTTTCTGTTCAACCTAATTGCGATTGGACAAAATTTTAAGAGAACAGAAATATCAGTTAACATAATTTCAATTTTGCAGAATTTTTAGTTAACATAATTTAAAATAAACAGAAATGTCATTTGACATAATTTTTATGTTCTCGAATTTTAACTTTTCCGAAAATAAAAATAACAGAAATTTAACTTGACAGACTTTCTGTTCAACCGAATTGTGATTGGACAGAAATTTAAGAAAACAGAAATATCATTTGTCATAATTTTAATTTTGCCGAATTTTTAATTTACAGAATTGAAAAACAACCGAAACACCATTTGTCAGAATTTTTATGGTCACAAATCTCAGATTAACCGAAAATGAAAACAGCAGAAGTTTCACTTGACATACCAAATCCATTGTGTATTCATTGTTTAAACAATCATCAACAATGGATTTATTCTATCAAATGAAAGTTCTGCTGTTTTTATTTTCGGTTAATTTGAGATTCGAGAACATAAAAATTATGACAAATGACATTTATGTTTATTTTTAATTATGTAAACTAAAAATTCTGCAAAATTGAAATTATGTTAACTGATATTTCCGTTATCTAAAAATTCTGTCCAATCGCAATTAGGTTGAATAGAAAGTCTGTCAAGTTAAATTTCTGTTATTTTTATTTTCGGAAAAGTTAAAATTCGAGAACATAAAAATTATGTCAAATGACATTTCTGTTTATTTTAAATTATGTTAACTAAAAATTCTGCAAAATTGAAATTATGTTAACTGATATTTCTGTTCTCTTAAAATTTTGTCCGATCGCAATTAGGTTGAACAGAAAGTCTGTCAAGTGAAACTTCTGCTCTTTTCATTTTCTGTAATTTTAATATTCGAGAACATAAAAATTATAACCAATGGTATTTCGATTATTTTTTTATTGTGTAAACTGAAAATTTGGAACTATAAAAATTCGGTTTTTTAAAAATTCTGAAATATTTAAATTCGGTTTATTAACACTTTTGTAATTTTAAATTATGTTAATTAAAAATTCGGTTATTTAAAAATTGAGGAAAAAGTAGGCGTCTCAAAAGAAGATAGCCATGGTTATTTTTTTTGTCAAATATTGATTTTAATTAGCATGTTTATAAACGGGTAATGAATAACAGAAATAAAGACTTTAAAAAGTCCATAACTTTGGAATTTATTAAAAATAGTTTACTATCATTTTATTACTTTATATATTATATATAAAAAAAAATTTTTTGATTTTTAAACTTTCAAGTTCTTAAAACTACTGTTTTCAAATATATAATTTTATTTAAAAACTATTGCTTTTTTAAAATTTTTATAAGTTATATAGCAAATAAAGTTATTATATAATAATAAAATAATAAATAATATATTTTATAAATTTTGAGTTTATTAATTAAAAGTAATTTGTATTAAAGGTTAAACGTTCATATATATTTTTAATCCTAAAACATAACTCTACACAGTACTCAGAGCTATGAGGAAAGCAGTCACGACTTCGACCACAGAATTTATTGTTATATTCGTAGCTGTAAATAATCTGTTGTCTACTAATATGAAACGAAACTCCGATTACTGTAAAAAAAGTAGTGATTATTTTCTGCAGAGCATTGAGTGCTGTGTGGAGAACATTCAGAACTCTGGAATTTAATTTTTTGGTTTCCACAGTAGTCAGTGCTGTGAGAAAAAATACTCAGTGATTTCAGATTTTCTCTGTGTATGATAACCGGAGGCCCAAACAGTAACTGCCTGAGTGAAGAAAGCAGTAGCATTAAAGCTAACACAACTTGGGTTCCAAGCAGTATTTGCCTGGCAAAGGCAAGCTGCATTACCTGGGCAATCTAAAGGGGCGTTCATTTTGTTCTGCACAGTAGAAAATACTTGACACACAAGTAGAGTATTGGGCACATCATAAAAAATTAAAATTATAAATTTTATTATAATTGCTATTATTTTTCATTGGCATTTTTTATAATCATCTTTTATGGTTTTGAAGAACCAATTACAAAATTTGTTTTAAAAAATTTAAATTTTTTCAAAAACAGAACATTTCTATAAATAAAGAAATGGTAAAATCGGGTAACGAGTACAGTAACTGACACCTTAAGGCAAAAATTTTTTTTTTTTTATAATTAAATATTTATGGAAAACTTTTGTTTAAAATATATAAGAGAAAAGTTAAGTTTTCAAATTTAAAATTCTATTCGTAAATTTATAAATATCCAAAAATGTTAGCCACTGTGCCGAGTACTCTACTTGTGTGTCAAGTATTTGAAACTGTACAGAACAAAGTGAACGCCGCTTTAGATTGTCCAGCTAGTGCAGCTTGCCTTTGCCAGACAAATACTGCTTGGGACCCAAGTTGTGTTAGCTTTAATGCTACTGTTTTGTTCACGCAGGAAGTTACTGATAGGGTCTCTAGTTATCATAGCCTTTTTTTCTCTCCGTGCATAATAATTATCTTTATTTAGACACAACGGTCCATTAATTTAAATTTAAATGTTTGGTTACTTAAATGATTGTATTTATTGAAACTACAATAAAAAATTTTGTAATTTAAGTTAAAATGATCATTTTAATTATACTTTTTAATATAGAGACATAAAAAATTTATTTTAAGTCTTATAATCATTAGAAAAATCTGACTTTTACTTACACAAAAGTTATCTTATAATATTTAAAAATATAAATTTCACATTTTCTAATACAGCTTTTATTTTATCTATTTTAAAATATAACTAGGAAAAACATAAGTTTAGAATTTTTTTTAAAACAGACGTCAAATAATAATTTTTGATATTTCATTAAAAAAAAATTTTTATACAATAAATAAATAAGTTATAATAATATTAACAAGTTGTAAATTCAGAAGTTCATTACATGAACATTTTGCTTCCTCTTTACGATCAGCAAAAAAATTTGCTTCCTTGTGGAGAAAGCAAAATTTTATTGCCAAAATGTGAATTTTTGATTTTTTAACTTTCATTAATTCTTTAAATTTACCTCAAATGTATACTTTATATATATCGATCGATTCGTCTTGACGTAAGGAATACGATTTTATTAAATATAACCTTAAATTTTTCTATTTAAAAATTTTTTCGATTAAAAAAAATTTTTTGGAAAAAAGACGATAAAAATTTTTTTTTGTGTATTTTTTAAAATCCTTTGGTCAGATTTGAGATATTAACATGATAAATGAGCCTACCGAATTTTATCTAAATCCATTAAAACCTGTTAAAGTTATCTTCTAAACAAAAAAGGGATCCACACACACACACACACACACACATACATACATCCGGACAATTGATCAGGATCTCATATAACATGTTTCTATAAAGAAAAAAATGTGTTTCCGACACTTTGAAAATTTTTATAAATGAAAGGACTACAAAGCTTCCTCCACGAGGAAGCAAAATTAATATTTTATTAATATAACAATTTAATTTAATACGACAATAAAATTTAGTGTTGAAATTAGCTGAAAAATCTAGTCAGATTTTTAAATAAACATAAAAAACTGTAACTTGTAAAAACTGTTTAACTTTGTTAAAAAAATGTTAATTTAAAAAATTTTTCCAAAAAAGGACTGGAAAACCGAGATTCTCGGTAGCCTTGCTCACGTTACAATAATCTCGGTCGAAAAACAAAAAACATATTTTCATATCGATTCTTTGACACATGAAAAAAAACAAATATCATTCGTTTTTTATATCGTGTAGATCGATTGCATCACTAATCCTGTACAGGAATTTTTAACTGGGACAATTAATTTTTTTTCTTCAGGATTTGGAATTGAAAACAACGAAAATTCATTAAGATTATTTCCATTTTTAAAAACTCTAACAAATGATATATTTACAGATTCCATTGCAATTCTGAGAGCAAGTATTGAATGTGATTACGAATTTAATAAAATTGTATCAAAATATTCAGTTTTTACAACCAAATGGAAGACATATGTCTCAGGATATTGCAGCGATTGTGGTTTGGAAACTATTGACGTTTTTTACCGTTTAATTATAAATTACAATTTCTTAAAAAAATTTTGGCAATTTTTTTTGTTTAGATAAAATGATACCAGCTTTTATGTGCTTTATTTCATAATCATCAATCTTAAAATTTTTATGGATTTATCTATTTGTAGGTTAAACATAATTAGAAATATATACTTACGTAACAATGTTTTCTTATTTTCCTTTCCGTTTCTGTTTGATTCAGAAGAATATTGCAAAGTAGCTTCGAAATCATCAACAACATCACTCAGGTCTAATTCTGATATGTAGTTTATACTACTACCCTTCGATCTATTTGTTTCAGGTGAACTAGATTTCTTAGCATTGTGATTTAACTTCGACAATTTTATAGAACTTCCACTTGTTTTCGATGAACCAGGACTTACCTAAAACAGTAGAGTCGGTAAGAGTCATTACTACCCCGGTTGAAAAAAACTTGTACAGGATCGTGAATACGATTTTGTGCATGATTGTGCACCTTAGTAACTAATGTTTTTGGTTTTACATTTCTTTAATTATGTTGTTTAATTAATTTTACGAGGTCTTTTTGAAATAATTATTATCAAATTCGTTGTTATTTAGAGTCATAAATTTATTGATTGACAACATGTTTCGACATAACAATGTCCTCATCTGGTCTTTGTGTAAACAAATTAAAGATAAGCAAGAAAAGAAAAAGAATATAATATATGCCAGAATATTGAAAATATTCCTTTGCCTCTGTATAATGGTTTACTGAAGCACTTGCAAATATTGTAGAAATAAATAAGTGGAGAGACAGTCGTGAAGTTCCCACACAGGAGCGAACATTTACTGAAGGTTTACTAAAATATTATAGTGTTTAAAAATTATCAAATTGTGAAATTTCGTAAATTTTTGTTGCTGGATAACTTTTTTTAACTTTTAAAAACTTGCGATTAATGTTAATGTACTTGATATTCTTTGTTTAAAAAAAATAATACAATGGAACAATTTTAGAAAAATTTTTTGTGTTAAGACTTTGCTATAATGGGACGAAAGCACTACCCCAACAGAGTAAAATCCCCAAATGGCTTTGAAAAGTTAGCGGCCGTTTAGTTTTTCTTACAATTTTAAGTTTTGATAATTTTCTGTGTTTTTTTTAAATCACTCTAATTAGTGATTGGCCAGTAAATCGCTCATTCTTTAAAATAACTTCTTACCTTCTCGAGTAAAATTATAGTTTTTATTCCAATAAACAAATTCCATTAAAAAACTATGCTTAAAAATCACTTTCAGTTAATCTCTTATATCAATTATTCGATTTTTCTCAATTTTTTCACACTAAGCCACAAAACATTTTATTTTAATTAAATTTTTACTGAAACGTTACTTAAATTAAAATGTAATAACCAGTTATAATTCTTTTAAAAATTTAAACAAAAAAATTATATTCAGGTCAGATTATAGGCTATAAATTCCGTTTTGGAAACCGTGTGGAAAACTGTTGGGGAAGTCTAGAGTCTAATGGTTTCCCGATCAGCAATAAACAAAACCGTCTAGTCTAGACAGACTGCTAGGAGCCTCACTATGAACTAATCAGACGGTCTTATTTGAAAATGTTTCAAGTCAAATATGTCCGTCTTGTAAGTCGCTGCGTAGACCGTTCTGATTTGTCAATGACCGTACTTAAACGCTACTTTATTTTTTTGCATAATAATAATAATAATAGTAAATAAAAATAATAATAATATTAATAATTTTATTATATTCATATCATTATAGTCATTATTTTTGTTATCATCAATATAATAATTATTTATTAATTAATTATGTAATAAGTATATATTTTAGTTTTTAAAATTGTTGAGTTTTTGGATTTTGAAATTATATTAATATCCTTTTATTTTTGGCCAGAAATCCAAACATTTTTCAAAAAAGGTTAACATTTTAAAACATTTGTTAACTTTAATTATATTTTTTTAATTCGACGTTCGATGGTAGCCACCATCCTCTTCAAGAGATTACAAAATCTAAAAAATAATTTAACATATAGTTTTGATATTTATGAGAAAATTAAGATTTTTGCTTAAAATAGAAGAAAACGTGAGATTGCATACGTAAGACATAATTTGTTTTATTTAGGAGTTGAGATTCAACTCTTCACAATAAATGTTACATTTTGAAAAAAATGTTTTTTATTTATGTATTAAAAAGGGAATTATTTATTTTTAATAAAATTAGTTGTCCGAAACATTTATGTCAGTTTTTTTTGACAAAGTAAAGTAAACAGATAATTATCATAAATTATAAGGTTATGAGAAGGATAAGTTTTCTAAGGGTGTTTTCGGCATTCACTCAGAGTTAACTCTAGAGTTAACAGTGGTGCTCAATGATATTATCTTTGAAAATTTATTTACCCAAATAAAATAATTGATTTTCTATTTTCATCACCCTGAGTTTGAAGTTAGTTGTCCTTGTTTGCTTACTTTTTTTTAATTTATACGTATTTTTTGTTTTTCATTTAAAAATGGAACATATTTTTGCTACCCATAAACGTGTTATTTTTTTAAAGTTTATAATTTTCAAATTTTTCCTCGATTTTTCATTATTTCCCTAACTTTAATTAATCTGAATTGTTTAAGAAACTAGATTATTTATTTTAATTAAAGTTGCTTTTTATAAATGAAAAGTTAAAATAATTTTTAATAAAAATAAATTATTATGTTTCAATTTACACTTTTCAAACAAACAATCCGTTCACAAATTTTGTCGGCCATTAAAGGTTAGGACTGACCCTTTTTCTTTACTCTCGCAAGAAAACAGAGTTAACTCTGGGTCATCTAGTAATAAATTTTTGGGGACTTTTATGAAATCTAGAAACAAAAAATTTTATTTTAACATTACATTACTAGAATAAAAGGCCCGTTTCACATATTGTTACAATTGCAAACCCTGCGCCAATCAAAATGAATCGTCTATGCCAAATTGCCAATCAACAACGTTCACAACCAACAGACGAACTGAAAATCAAAATTTACATTTGAGCACCACTGCTAACTCTAGAGTTAACTCTGAGTGAATGCCGAAAACACCCTAAATGTTAGGAATTCTGGTTTATAGATATTTAAAAGGTAGTTCATATGTAGTAGAAAAAATTAGGAAAATTTTTTTATTTAATTTAGTTATTTTTTATTTTTGTGAATTTATAACAAAGGTATTAAAACATTCCGACAACTTAGTCTTCTCATAACCTTATAATTTATGATAATTATTTGCTTACTTTACTTTGTCAAAAAAAACTGTCATAAATGTTTCTGACAACTAATTTTATTAAAAATAAATAATTCCTTTTTTAATACATAAATATAAAAGCATTTTTTTCAAAACGTAACATTTATTGTAAGGAGTTGAATCTCAATTCCTAAATAAAATAAATTATGACTTACGTATGTAATCTCACGTTTTTTTCTATTTTAAGACAAAAATGTTAATTTTGTCATAAATATTAAAACTACATGTTAAATTATTTTTTAGATTTTGTAATGTCTTAAAGAGGATGGTGGCTACCATCGAAACGTAAAATTAATAAATATAATTTAAGTTAACAAATGTTTTAATATGTTAACCTTTTTTAAAAAATATTTGGATTTCTGGCCAAAAATAAAATGATATAAATATTATTTATTTTTGTTATCATTATATTATCATTAAATTATTATTAATTAATTATCTATAAAATATACATATATATTAAAAAAATTTACAATTTAAACTCTAAAAAAGTTATTTTGCAATTTTAAACAATTTTTTCGATTTGTTGGAAATATACATATAAAATAAATCTGCTTTTAAAAAGTTAGTCAAAAACAAGTTTTCTCAATTTTTTAGAATTTTTTAAAGGTTTTTTTTAATATTTATTGTTGTTTTGCAAATTTTTAGTTAGGAACCTATAATTTTGTATCTAATTTTAAATGTCATTTAAATCAATTGATTTTAAATTAAAAATTTCATTATTTCTTATTTCTAACCTTAACATCTTCTATTATATTAAGTTAACAAATTTCTAATAGAGACACCGACAATTGATCTCGACCTTGGAAAATTTATGTTCACTTATTTTCAAATAAAAATTTCAAAATCCTTTGCCATATGCATTTTGAAAATCTTACATGTTTTACCGTTTTGACATTTTTTGCAATTGTTACGAACGAATTTCGTAACTTTTTAAAATTTTCAATTTTAAATAAAAGATACTTAAATTCAATTAATTATTGTAAGATTTAAATCACATAGTGATTTAAATTCTTTTTCTACTTATAATTAATTACAAATAGAATTATAAATAATATAAAATACAAACATACAACACAAACACAATCCTTCAAATTAATTAATAAATAAATTAAAAAACAAGTTGCTGTTCTCATTTTAGTATTGTTAAATAAATTTCGAAAATATTAAGAAATAGAAGATAAAGAACCTCAATATAGAATAAAAGACTTCATTGTAACAAAGTTTCGTTAATAAAGTTCAATCATTTCATAAATCAATGTATAATTGAGCAATATAATAGCTCAATACAAGGAGTGGCTTATCGAAGGTGGATCACGCCTCTGCCCCAAAATTGCAAGTTGCAAGAAGCGACAGACAATTTTATTATAATTTTCCACCCTCTTCATCAATTAATAAAACCAATTCTAAATGTAAAATACAGGTAGTTAAGGCGAAGGTTTAGAGTGTGAGGTCTCAAGTGCAGACTCTGTTACAACCCGCAGTTTGGGGTTGCTTAAAGTGTTTATTGTAAAAGAATTCTCTCAGTGGAAAATTTTTTTAATTGATTGAATTATTGATTATTAAGTTGTGAAATATTGATCTTATGAATATGAATTGAAGAATTTGTTTTGTGGAATATTGAATATCGATTTATTGAATATTGATTACTGAATTTGGGTGTATTGAATATTGGAATATTGATTATCTAATCTACTGAATACTGATTATTGAGGAATATCGATTTGTTATTGATTTGATTTGGTGAGTTTCAATGCATTATATTTACACTACACAGACATTCACACTATTAAATACATTATTTTGATACTTGTACTAAAAGCATTTGATCCTATTTTATAAAATACATGTTTTTCTTTGGAGTTTAAATTGTGACTTCTTATTTAAACCAGTTCTCATATTTCCTTTTTCTTGATTGATCAAATTAAGAGTACAAATAAGAATACGAATCTCAACGACATTCTGAATAATAGAATGGTAGTAGGAGGAATCCACTACCTTTATAATTAAGTTTGTCCGAAGGGCAAGTTGTTAGCCTACCGTAATTTGTAATAAGAAAAGTTATTTTTTGTTTCATAATTGATTTCCATAAAAACCTAAAACCTTTTCCCATCAAATTGTAACCCTAAGAACT